GAAATTTAAATCAATTGGTTTGCTTCTGGATTGTCGGTTGATGACCGAAGCGTCAGCAAATCACCATGAGGAATCCGGTATCTCAAACTCTCGCACGCAGTATGGGCCACAAATATTACGCTCCAGAACCCGGTAGTAATAGTACCGGGACTACCGGATCACAATTGCTGGGGAAATACTAATATGAAAGTAGATACCAAGTTTTGTTTTAAAATTTGTGTAATAGTACTACGACTACTACTTCAGTACTATTTTAGTACTACCACGTTTCTTGCTGATTGTTCGTTTTCTTTGCCTCTTTCTTCATCAGAACGATCTCTTTTCGATTGTAGCGCAGTAGAAGTTGCTTCTTGGCACGTCTGTAGTCAGTCCTGGTACGAAGAGGATCCATCACAATGCCTCCCGTCGAGAAAACCCGCTCTTGGAGGGCCGAAGAGGACACTTTGCCGAGGTGTATTCGCGCTAGCAGCGCGATCGATGGAGACCAGTCTTTGCCTTCTTCATATAACCAGCGCAAGACGTATACGTGCGTGTAGAGACCAAGCAGGGAACAGTAGGTGCCTTTGTCGTTGTCAATAGACATGTCTTGATTAAGTTCTGCTTCAGTCTTCTTCGGGTTCTGGTGGCACGTAATATCCAGCCACTCTGGTTCAAGCTCGAGCCACTCTGTCCGCCCTAGCATCAATGTCGCGCCTTCACCTCTTGGCGGTTCTGCTTCATACGTATCGGAGCCCCAATAAGTAGGTCGTCCCCGTCGTCCCATCCAGTAGATGCGGGAGACGAAAATGGTGAAGTGTATTGGCTGTAGGTGCTGCTACTCTGTGATCCAAGCTCCTGAGTTAACTGGGGTTTCCCTTCCTTGACCATGGAGCCAAAAATGACGCGATGCTCATCTCGTAGGTAGTCCATTCCACCTGTATACAGCGCCTTTTCATCTTTACGAGCAATATTGCCCACCGCAGCAATCATTTTTGCAGCATGTTTCGTATGTGGTCGAGCAGCACACACTTCCCGTCTGACCTTAGGAAAACGCGCTTGCAACTGGAGGAGTGTTCGTTTAAGGCACACTTTGCCTGGTTCTGAAAATTGGTCTAATGCCCTTTCGACCCGTCGGTGGGTGGTTTCGTTTTCTTCTTTTGAGTGCTGTGGTGTTGGAATTCCCACGTGAACTCTAGCTACAAATGTAGTTAGGGCGTTCCCACAACAATACGTCTGCTAGGATAGCAAACGATCGTTCGGGCGGACTTGAAGACCCCAGTTCTGCCCTTGCCCCAGGACAGACTGGACCTTGTAAACTACTTATTTAGGCCAACCAGAAAAAAATAAGAACACGCTACTAGCACGAGCAAAGCTAATAGGTTTTATGAATCCTCGTGGTCCCAACAGCGGAAGGGTACCAGGCACGGGTAAGCCTTTTAATAGGGCACCGAGTGATCAACACTCGGTTGGAAGAATAAAAGGGATGCAATACAAGCAATCCCAGTCGTGCAAATAGGCAACAATACGCCGTCACGTAAAACCTCCCGATAGTAATCGGCCAATACACACACAGTCTCTTGGCCTTGCCGAATGAACCCTCGCTACAGAGCTTCGAGCTCACCGACAGGCATAACACACTCAAACAAGCTTGATCAGACGCTTACCTTGAAGCCGGACGTCGCTCTGTGTGCTTGAGTGGAAAGTCCGTTCTGTATTTATGTTTGCCCTTTCGGGTCTATTCCTAATACGAAGTCCTAATCAAGAATACAAATATCAAGTGAGCAATGATCCGTTATGGATCTTCTTGCACGCCAAGCATCGTCTGCACCGTCGCATGAGTATCTTTAACGGCCCGCGCCCTGTCCCAGACGGTGAACGTGTCTTCCAAGGGTCGCTGAGTCTTCCGCGAACTCATCCCAACCGCCACCGAGGGTTCGTACCGTAGATGGTCAGTTCTTGGCCGCTGAATGCGAATCCGACCAGTCCATTATTAATAATTAGGACAGCCTGGATTCAGTGACATATGAACCGTATCCAATATCCGTTGAGAGCTCGGAAGTGACGCCGTCGAGTCTCTTGCACCTTGGCGTCACCGTACATCACATGACCGAGGGTTCCTCGCTTGAACAACTTGGGCTGTGCCACGTCTTTGTCGACGGACGATTATCCGCACCTCTGGAGAAATCACTACACCGCAACTGCCCTTGTCGCAATGGAAGCCACAGTACTGGTGCCCGTTGTGACATTTCTTCATTCTCCAATTCGTCATTCAATCACCGCATGTTCAAGCGCTTGAATCGTGCCGTGAACAACGCGCTTCAGTGTCTTAATCCTCGCCGACGTCGTGAACGTGAACAGCTGGAGGTACGTCAGCTCATCTCCCCCTTGAATCACCGGCGTCTTGCTCATCACCATGCATTACTCGTCTTGTCTCTCAGGATGGCGACACCGAGGTTTCGAACGCCCCTCAGCCTGCTACACTTCCTTCGATGGCAGCGTCATCGGCTGGACCTTCGGCGCTTCCTGCCCCGGACTCTTCACCTCCTGTTGCAGCTCCTGCGGCACTCACCGTTATTGCTGAATCCACGGAGATGGCTCCTGCTGGTCCGCCTGCGTCTGCTGGTGGCCCTCCATCACTCACCGAGGATGCATTGCGCGCCATGCTGGCTGAAAGTACGGAGGCATCGGTCGATCACATGATGACCTCGATAATTCCGTACTTGACTGCGATGGCTCGTCACCAAGTGCAGATCAGCGTTGCGCCTCCTCTCCACGGCGATATCCACGCTCAGCGTCACCTCGAGACCTGTGGACTTCGACGAGGTTATCGCTGCTGTACAGCCTCTCCCCGATGCGCTGACGGCCTTGTCCGACCGAGTTGTCAGCCTGGAGCGTCAGTGGCGGGCCGCCCAGACCAAGGCCGCCGCCGCTGTACGTGTGGTGGCACCCGAAATCATGGCTCGGGAGAACGCGGAGGCGTACCTCAAGACTGCCAACGCCGAAGTCGAAGATCTTCGCTAGGACGGCAAGATTCTCCGCGAGTCAAACGCCAAGAACGATGCCATGCTCGCGAGTTTACAGTCTTCTATGGAGCAACATGCATAGGACTTGAAGCGTATGCACTGCGAGGTCGAAGCGCGGGACGCGTTAGCTACCTTGAACAAGAAGCTGGCCCGTGAACGCGAAGTGTACAAGTCTTCGATCGGCGCAAACACCGAACAGACTCGGCAGCTTCGTCTCCTATTGGACAAGCTTGCCAAGGGCAAGAATGTCGACAACGACACGCTCAAGGTCCTAGAGAATCAGCAAGATCGTAACACTCGCCCCCTCCAAGTGAATCGCACCCTCCGTGCACACGTGAGTCTGGCCGGGGTGGATCCCGAGGTACTGCGCCTGGCTGTTGATGGTACGTTCCTAATGTTGCTCTTTCCACCGTGTGTTCAGCAACTAACGTCCGTTCACAACCCTTTGTGATAGGTCTGACTGCGGGTGAGCTAGACCTGGACGCCCTGGACTTGGACCAAGAGACGTTGGTCGCTTTGCAGCGCATACAGTCTGCTGCCGTGTCTTCGGACGACCCACAAGCGCTTCCTGCAGCGTTGGCCAAGACCGCTCATCAAGTGGCCCATGGGAAGTCCCACAAGCGCCTTCGACCAGGTGGCGAGGAGTTAGACGATGAGCTGGACGACTCTGACGAAGACAAGGCTCCCATCCCGACGGACAAGGCCAGTACTTCAATGGCAGCTGCTGGTCTCGGTGATGCGCCACCTGCCGACACTTTAACTCCCAAGTCGGCACGTCGGTCGCTGTTCAGCCGAATGCACGGAAGCAAGCGGCCTAGAAGAAGCGCCAGAAGACTCGCCTTCGCTCTCCCGCCAAGTCCCCCCGACGTCATATGAAGACTCGGTCCAAGTCTGTACCGTCTTCTCCTAGCTCAGAGTCGCCACCTACCACACCAGCGTCTTCCTCGACCCCCGCCGTGGTTGACCGCAGCGGTGACCAGAGTGACGTGGACATGGTGGATGTCGGATCAAGTGGTATCCAGTCGGCTCAAGATACTGCCACCGAGTCTTTGGGTAAGGACGTGGATTCTGGGGATCACGACGATGCCTCCGGCCTTCCTGACGCGCCTTCGTCTCCGCCTCCGGGTCCTCCCGACGTGGCCAAGCCGCCAGCTTCGACGATCTCTCCTTCCCCAGCGGACATACGCGCTGCCGAAGAGGCCTTGCGTGAGGCCGAGGATTTTCGACTCATGTTCGGTTCGGATGACGAAGATGATGAGTCGGATAACACCGTCCCATCCGGCAAGGTTGCTTCGTCGTCTGCTGCGACTTCTAAGACGGTTGAAGTCTCGGGAGTAGTTTCTACGGTAGGGCTTACCCCTAATGAAGGCTCCACAAGCCTCCGTGTCTTCAAAGCCGGCCCCGACGGTTCCAACAGCTGCCGCGCCAAGTGCTTCTTCGACCGATTTTTCGATGGAAATTGATGACGATGGAAATGTTGATGACGATCGTGGAGATAACGTGGATGACGATGAACTTTCGGTGGATATTTCTCCTGATGGTACAAGTGGTGGCGGTGATGTGCCGCCGCCTACCGAATATTCAAGCACAGCTGATGACGAAGATGTTGAAGATTCCGACGGCAACTGGAGCGGTCTTGGCCCTGCTCGGTCTCTGACTCCTCTTCGGCCAAATCCTTCGCCGACGCCAAACTTGAATTGCTTCCGGATTCAGACGCTGAACTGGAGGCACTCGTACTTTCACTGGCGGAATCACTGCTCGAGTCTGTCTCATTACCGGTCTTACCGTCGAGAAAATCGCTGATTAATCTGCCATAGACTCTCTCGGTGCCATTGACCACGATAGTGCATTGCGTATTGACATTGGTGTAGCCATTGACGAGATTGATAAGAATGTTGCAGCCTTTGTTACTTTGCTGGAACTCCGACGCAGTCGCGTTTGTTGGGAGCTCGGTGATGGCGAAAATGTCGACCCCCGTGTCTTGTTTGCACTGCTCTTTTGACCTCTTCACTTCTGCTGCAATTGTACTGTTGCTCAAAAGGGTGGCTTCGATATTCTCCAGGTCGCAAGGAGCCATGGGAGCGACTAGGGCGATAGCGCCAGCAACAGCGAGAGATGACATGACAGCGGCCTTCATTTTTTGTTGCGAGGATGCTGATTCGTACTACTAGGTCAGAGGCTGGAAACTTGTCTTATGAAGGTTCATGGCTTTTGGTCCAGAGAAATCTTGCCCTCGGGTATTCTTGGCTTCACTCGAGGCAACGGCTCTGTATGGGCTGGTGCCCTCGCCCTCCTTCAGCAAGATGGCCATATCTAACATTATCACATTATCTCGCTTGCAGCGAACAAACCTCAGCTGGAACGAAGACGAAACGAACCAAGGTTCCCCCGATTTATCACGAGCCGGTAAAACGTCGAGAACCTGGTTCTCGAGGTTAAAAAGGTTAATTTGAGACCGTGCTGAGTGGGGAGCATGTGTAAAACGTCCGAACATTGCTACATGTATAAATAAACTGGCAGAAAATAGGGCCCATCGCTGGGATAACACACACGGGGCTGGGCGACGTGGGTGCCATTGCCGCGGCGCCAACTACGGTAAGCGGGTGCGAGGCGGGCCCAGCGTCGAGCTCACCAGCGAGCCGTGCATTGCACTCTTCAGGACATTCGATGTTTATATCGCGAGCGTAGCGAGCCGCGGGGGCGGCGAAGGGGCCAGCCAAGCGAATGTCACTTTTCTGCTGTGACCTCTAATCGTCGATTACCTGTATGTCTTATTGTGACACTCAGAAGGTCAAAATTATACAGAAGTCAATGTGCTGTGTGCTGACGCAGTAAATGCATGTGTTTGGCATGTTCTGTCCTAAA